TACAATTTCTCTCTATTTATAATGATTTATGAAAAAAAAAATTAAAATTAAAAAACAACATCTTTCAACGGCAATAATTCCTGTAAGCAGTCAATTTAAAAAAAACAATTTCGATAAAGATGACTTATATGTATATGTAGATCTTATTTTGCTGAAACCTTTTACCATTTAGAATTTCTCTTTACCTATAAATGTTTCTGGAAAAAAACGCATAAAATGAACAAAATTAGTCTTTCAAGGGCAATCATGTTAGTTCCGAAGCACTACCACCTGAAATGATGATACCCTCAGGGACTATCAATATAAAAATAAAATAGATGTGGTATGATTGTCAATGATACAACTCTCAAAAAGAGACCAACTGATATAGAAATTTGCAACTATTGGTAAAAACAATAGATAAACCAAGACTGAAAAGCAAGCTGTAAAGCTATCAGTCGACAATCAGGGCAAAGAAAAAACATTTCCTTTAATACAATAAAGTCCGAGAAAATGCTTTTATAAAATGTAAATGTGTCTGCAAATACTTCTCTTTCCACACATATTAATACAATAGTCAACTAGATGACTGGTTTATTTATGGTTACATGTATTTTTTATGTTTTTTTATTAACGTATTTTTAAGCAAGACGTATCCCCTTTGACCATGTTTGAAGTCAACCTGCACAAATTCCTGCATAAATTAACCAAAATCAACTTAAAACTCACCGCTATACTGAAAAGTATTTTTTTGTTTCAGAAAGAGAAGCAAAAGGTACCAAAGGATAATCAAACTCATAGGTCGAAACTGGCCGTACTGTTGCCTATACTTGCTTTCATCAGCTTCATCTGAACTTTGGTGGATAGTTGGCTCATTGGCAATAATACCACATCTCCTTATTATCATACCATGACATCCACATCATTGGTCTATAGTGGACAGTTGTCTCACTGGCAATAATACCACATCTCCTTATTATCATACCATGACATCCACATCATTGGTCTAAAGTGGATAGTTGGCTCATTGGCAATAATACCACATCTCCTTATTCTTTTATTGACCATGCAATGGCAAAAATGAAAAACGATCAAAAAAAAATAATAGTATACATGTTGCCTTTGTTGGTCTTGTATCATTTTTAATTTCAGTTTCTTGTGTATAATTTGGAGTTTAGTATGACGTCCATTATCACTGAACTAGTATACATATTTGTTTAGGGGCCAGCTGAAGGACGCCTCCGGGTGCGGGAGTTTCTCGCTGCATTGAAGACCCATTGGTGGTCTTCGGCTGTTGTCTGCTCTATGGTCGGGTTGTTGTCTCTTTGACACATTCCCCATTTCCATTCTCAATTTTATGTACATAGTAGTCCTTTGTTAATTTATGTATCATTGTCATTTTTCTTAGTTTCTTTTGTTACCTATTCTGACATCGGACTCGGACTTCTTTTAAACTGAGTTTTACTGTGCGTATTGCTATGCGTTTCTTTATTCTACATTGGCTAGAGGTATAGGGGGAGGGTTGAGATCTCACAAAACATGTTTCACATTTTTGCGCCTGTCCCAAGTCAGGAGCCTCTGGCCTTTGTTAATCTTGTATGTTTTTAAATTTTAGTTCATTTATATGTTTTGGAGTTTAGGGTGATGTCCATTTTCACTGAACTAGTACACAATTTTATTTAGGGGCCAGCTGAGGACCACCTCCGGGTGCGGGATTTTCTCACTGCGTTGAAGACCCATTGGTGGCCTTTTTGGTCTTTGGTCGGGTTGTTGTCTCTTTGACATATTCCCCATTTCCATTCTCAATTTTACAAAACACAACATAGAAAGCTAAAGACTGAGCAACACGAACCCCACCAAAAAACGGGAGTAATATCCGGTGCTCCGGAAGATTACGCGTATCCTGCTCCACATGTGGCACCCGTCGTGTTGCTCATGTAGTAAGTACAACCATGTGATAAGTCTAATTCGGTAGGTCACTTTTGAGGAAATGAGGACGGAATTATGGTTACGACAATTAGAACGTATCCGTCGTCAACTGTGAAAAAGATATTTCAACTAATTTGTGATGGCGTCCGTAAAATTTTTGAAGGGGGGTGATTTCGACTTGGAACTCTTGGTTTAATAGCTTCCTTGTATTAAGCAACAAACCTTTATCACGGAAATTTTTCTTGTAAATGACATCTCCACGATGAAGCAATGGTCTTCAATCAGATTTGATTGCAGCATTTGACATATTTTAGTTGACTTTTTTGCAAATAAGGAAATGAAGCAGTTTGTCCTTCAACAAATGACATCCAATTCATGAGAATTCTTTCAAATGAATGACTTGGCCTGATGAGAACTGAAAATAAATAACTTATCACAAGGAAGGATGACAACGAATTTTCTGCAACACGAAATGCATGAAACAAACGTGTACAATTGAGAAAATAAATGTTTTAGCGGAAAAAAATCAGCATTCCCAACAAAGGATAAAAAAGATAAATGATCAATCGGGGGGGGGGGGGGGGGGGGGGGGGGGGGGGGGGGATTGGGGGGGAGGGGGGTTGTCCTGTGTCCGGATCCCCCTATAATATATTAAATGTATTAAATGGTCGTCCCCAATGATAAATTTTAAGAAAATAAATTATACCCATACATCCACTCACAGTGCTGTACAGAAGAATCCCTTCATCATGATTCAAACTAATGCCATAAAAAACTACTATTTTGCACAAGTCTATCTAGATCTATCTACAACGAATGGTTGAAACATTTTCTTTTCTTTTAAAGTTTTATTGAGATATGAGTTGTTCGAACTGTCTTAGTATTTGGTGAATATCAACTTTGTCCTCATAAAGTATGTGTGTTTTATTGAGAAAAAAATATATATTCTTAGACTAGAATGATGTCTTATGTGCACAGTTTATTTTTACCAAAACCTGAAACAGTTCGAACAATACTAACTTAGTTTAATAAAACTTCTGCGTGTATTTGTCGCATTTTTACTTTGTAAATAAAGGCAACAGTAGTATACCGCTGTTCGAAATTCATAAATCGATTGAGAAAAAACAAATCCGGGTTACAAACCAAAACTGAGGGAAACACATCAAATATAAGAGAGAACAAAGACACAACAGAAACACTAAAATGCAACATACACAGAAACGAACTATAAGATAACAATAGCCATTTTCCTGACTTGGTACAGGACATTTTTAAGAAAAAATGGTGGGTTGAACCTGGTTTTGTGGCTAGCCAAACCTCCCGCTTTAATGGCAATGTTAAATATAACACTAAAATGACAACATTACATGACAGGACTACAATACAAATAAATGAAAGAACAAACAGGACAGAGAAACACACAAATAAACAATACAATAGAACATTACGACAGGCTAATAGTTATCAAAGGTGCCAGGCCTTAACTCAATAACCTAAAGATGAAGACTGAAGAGCATTGGTGACCCAAAATTCCAAAAAGTTGTGCCAAATACGGCTAGGTTATCTGCCTGGGATAAGATATTCTAATATCCTATTTTAAATTAGGGAGCTACCATTTAATTTTTATGGGGGGGGGGGGGCTAGGATGAAAAATTTTGTCCTGCATTTTTTTTTAGTTGTAATCTCTGTCCTGCCTTTTTATTTTTCACTCCATTCGGTCCTGCCTTTTTTTTTATTAGTTTATCCTGACTTTTTTTACATAAATTGTCATCCTGCCTTTTTATTTTGCCAAGTTGCTCATCCTGCCTTTTTTTTTCACTCAAAACTCCTGTCCTGCCTTTTTTTTTTCAAATTTCATCCTAGCCCCCCCCCCCCCCCCCCCCCCCCCCCCCATAAAAATCAAATGGTAGCTCCCTTAATAAGTCTTATGAGGGTTTGGATTGAGGGGGGGGGGGGTGTTCATTTCTTTATTCTTTAATATTTTAGACTATTTTTTCTTTTCTTTATTTGATATGCCCATTATTCTCTTTTCTTGATATTTGAGCACACCATTCTCTATTCTTTATTTTTTTTATTTTTTTTTTTGTCTATTTTTTTTCTGTTCTTGATTTTTTCCTCTTTATTCTGCACTTTTTGTCCGTTATTCTCTATTCTGATAACCCCATACAGACGGCCCTCATAGATAGGAACATTGTTTGATATTGTATGCTATTTTCGAGTCAAGTCATTTCCTGAACTGTTAATTGTTATTGTAACAGTTACAAGTTTCATGTACCTAGAGTTACTCCGCTGATCGAAATTATAAGGAGACTTGAGTTCTATCAAAAAACAGTACCCATTTGCCTATCCCAAGCAAAGAGCATTGTCAGTGACTTTATATGTTACACCTAGGTTTTGGCGCAAAGACGTCATACAAATGAAAACTTACAAACTGAAGGTTATTACGTTACTTCTACGATTCAAATTTGCAAAAATCACATTAAAACGGCGATTTTGAGGTAGGTGTTGTTTTATTTTCGATAATATCGTAGTAATCGAACATTTGTTGATCCAAGCAATTCAAAATGGCGGGTCCCTCCTTAGTTACGACATGTCAACTGTGGATTTGATGGTAACTTTTAGCCAATGAAAAAAATTGTTACATTAAAATTCGCTAGAATGACTTATGTTACACCTAGGTATTATATTGCTTGTCTGGTTTGGGGTTTTTGGTTTGGGGTTTTTGTTTGGGTTTTTTTTTTGGGAGGGGGGGTGTAGTGGATGAGGTTAATTTCGTTTCGATGACAGACCATAATTAGTCACTTAAATGTTGTATGTTCTCATTAATGACGAGTGTTTGTTTCACTTTAGATGTTTTCTGTTATTTTTGTCGAGGGGTCGTCTCATTGAATCTTCCCCTCGTCCTCTTGTATTCAAATTAATTTGATGCTATATATTTCTTTTATGGTGAAACGTACTATCTACTAGTATGTTGGTCTTTTACAAGATATCCAACTTTCAATTGGATTTTTAAAGCGGGGTAAATTTAACATCTGCAGAGCATCACACGGACCAACTAAAGAAGAACTGAAAACAATTACAGTTGTTGGGTTATTTATTTCACACCTCCGTCTTTGCCTGAAAACAATCCATCCAAGCTGACTAAACAAGAATCGAAATAGGCTCCTAACCACCAGCATTGCATACCTGAAAACAAATTATAATGCATTATAAGTAAATTATGACCAATAATAATTTACACTACTTTTTAAAATGCTATTGAAAGCTGACTTTAAGGGATTTACTGCGAAGAAATCAGAACGATAAAAAATAAAATTTTAAAAGTTAAAAAATGTCAACTCGAGGTTGAAAGAATTTTTGAAAATGACCCTACCTCTATGATTAAATGGTTGATTGGTTATAATTGTATGTTCCAAGCTATATCCGTCGATATATCTTTTTAATGAAAAAATGCTTTAAAGCGTCGAATTTACGTTTGGTCAATCTAAGTTGAAACTAAGAGTACAACACATAGATGTTGACTTTCAATGCTATATTTTTACTTACTACTGGTAACTCGCAAATATAGCTTTCTAAATCAGCACAAGCATCAGCGTCCCAACCCCAAACACCGTCACTGTTAAGTTCTATTTCTACACAGCTACCACGCATGTCCGGTTCATTTTCTAAAAACAGAAATAAAAATACAAATTATCTTAAATATTTTAAGATGTTTGTAGTTGAAAATTATTTATATTATGTCCAAAAGCTGATGTTTTACAAAAATCTATAAACACGAAAATCGGATATTAAATTAGATATTGAATTCTTAGGTATGTAAGGCCTACAGTTCTTTTATTGTTGAGACTGGTTACCTGAAAATTGCAATATAGAGAATATTTAATGACAAGGTAGACAGTTATGATGACACCACCGTCCAGACCCTCGTGTATTTCCGTTTGTGATACACCTCTCTGTGTGTGTGTGTGTGTGTGTGTTTGTAAACCTTTGTTAAGTTACTTCCCTTTGAAAGGGGGACTGTTACCTTGTAAAACAAAGGAGAAGATACCAATCACAAACCATAAGTCCGACAGAAATAGTAGTCAAGAGACAATCTAACAAACAATATTGAGAATTGTGAATCCTACCAACAATCGAGGATTAAAATAAGGGTAAAACGGGCTCAGAGAAAACAAACGGGTCATGCACGCTCTAGTGTTGCTTATGGGAATTAAAAATCCGGTGATGTCGTAAAAGAGGGAAATGAAAAGAAGTTGTGATAACGACAAATTGAACATATCTCCCAGCTTTGAACAATTGTGACAAAAATAGATTTCCTGAACGGTCAACTGAATCAAGATGGCGTCTGTGAAATGTTTGAAAAAATGACTTCAACTTTACTGTTATGAACCTTAAGCTTTGTAAACTATGACAATCCGTTTTCATATCATTCCACCATATTCTTGTATTAAATATCTGTTCAAGCTCAGAGTTCAATTGTCGTTATACTAACCTACTCCAAATGGTAGAGCGTTGAAATCAAACTTTTTGTTGTTTACTTTAAACATAAAGTTCCCGGAACTCCTTAAATCGTTGGCATCAGTCCAAACATCCACATCGTTGTCACCTGGATGTAAATAAATGTAAATTACATGATTTAAATAAAAATTGAATGCTTTTTTTGTAATTTAACATTGTTGTAAGAGACCAGGGTTATTATAGAGCAAATTGTTATTCAACATGCTGTCTCGTGTTGTTTCAGAGACCAGGGTAATTTCAAAGCCACTTGTTATTCCACAGCCTCGTGTTATTTCAGAGACCAGGGTTATTTCAGAGCCAATTTTTATTCAACATGCAGCCTCATGTTATTTCAGAGCCACTTGTTATTCAACAGCCTCATGTTATTTCAGAGCCAATTTTTATTCAACATGCAGCCTCGTGTTGTTTCAGAGCCACTTGTTATTCCACAGCCTCGTGTTATTTCAGAGCCAATTGTTATTCAACATGCAGCCTCGTGTTGTTTCAGAGCCACTTGTTATTCCACAGCCTCGTGTTATTTCAGAGCCAATTGTTATTCAACATGCAGCCTCGTGTTGTTTCAGAGCCACTTGTTATTCCACAGCCTCGTGTTATTTCAGAGTCCAGGGTTTTTTCAGAGCCAATTGTTATTCAACATGCAGCCTCGTGTTATTTCAGAGACCAGGGTTATTTCAGAGCCAATTGTTATTCCATAGCCTTGTTTTTTTTTCATGAGACACGTGTGACCGTTGATAATCACATTATCGCTGCTTTAATTGTAAAGGAAAAGTAGACATTAGGCCATTTTAACAAATGGCGGAAGATACCAAAAAAGGACTCCATTGAGAAGTAAAAAATATAGAATATAAAAAGTACAAGTTCATAGCTTGATTGAACATTTCATGGTCTTGTGTAACGATGAATACATTCATATAAGTCATTAGCGCAGGTTACTGACACTGGACATATATGTCCTTAGGCATCTACCAATTATCTTTTGGCTACATATTATATAATATCTTTATTCCTATACAGCTAATACATTGCATCGGTACAGAGATTGTACCAGGGATGGGAGGCATGGTTTTTTTAAAGTAGATTTCAAATCTTTTCAGAAAGATAAATGGTCAGTGCCATGTATAGCCTGATCAGATGCCATCATGGTTACCGCTTAATCTAAATTATTCATAGAGGATTTACGAAATGTATGAAAGTTAATATATCAAACTGATTAAATGAGTTTACCTCCCTTTACTAATGCCCAACTTTTATTAAAAAGAAAAAAACGAAGACACACTTACCGATGCCAAATTTCCGTCGGAGAGCTTCAATCTCAGCTAGACTATCAGGTACTAAGAGATGAGCTCCATTAGTACTGGTACATACGGCCTGAAATTTAAAAGGAGTTCAATTCAACTCATTCAAAGCGTAACAGACTAAAATATACTTTATACTTTCTCTCGTTTGAATTAATTTACATTGAACCCTGTCAGGGCCTTTTATAGCTTACTAGTTACTATACATTATAGGTTTTGCTCATAGTTGAAGACCGTACGGTGACTTAAGGATGTTCGCTACTCTGTTTCAAAATAACAAGCTTTTTATAAGAATGTTATAAATTGGTAGTATATGAATGAAGAAACTTAAAAAACAGAAAAAATGAAGGGTCCGTGTGCTTATTTTCGAGATATAAGCCATTGAAAATTTGGCGGGAAATAATTCTCCCCAGGTTTTTCCTACATTTTATATTAGCACCCTTTTCTTTCAAAAACATTGACAAAATAAGGATTTTATAAGATTTTCACAGATGACATTTTAAACTATAATATATAATCAAATTATGGAAAGAAAGAAGGGGTTAGTGTGCAAAATTTTTAATGGCACTACATGGATAAAACCAGAGGATTCCCAATATCTGGCAAAATAATAAAAAAAACTAGAGGAGCAAACATCCTTAAAGTTGGTAACGTTCACATCATTTGGTCTCTGCATGGTAGGTATAGTTGCATCACTGGTAATCACTGCATCGTTAATATACTTACCTCTGTATTGGTTCAATTCACTTCCCGTCCTGAATTTGAAGTTTTTTGACGCTGGTCGATTTGCAAGCAACAATCAATTCATAAAAAAATATCAACAAACAATTTAATCTATATAACTTTCAACTGGTAGAAAGTCTAGGTTCTTTCTTTACAACGAAGTACGGCCAATGGAAGATAGGACAAGAGCGTCTTGATGAACATATTGTTTTAAAACATATAGTTATAATATTTGTTGATGTTTGTGTAATGCAATTTGTAATTTGTCACAAACTGTCTAATTCATATTTTTTAACCTAAAGATTACAAAAATAGTTAGAGCATGCAAAGATACCGTTTGGATTTCATTATCAGAGTGTTAAATATGTGTTGAATGCTACTTTCAGCAACCTTGATTATATTATGGCGGCTATTTTGTAGGGGACTCGGTGGCCGAGTGGTCTAAGTAGTCGAACTACTGTATTACTAGCCAGGTCGTCGGTTCGTAATCCGCACGTGGTTCTCTCCGGGCACTCCGGCTTCATCAACCAATTAAAACTGACCGCCACGAAATAGCACAATAGTGCTGAAAGTGGCGTTAATCAACAACCAATCAATCAATTAATGATTTGGTGGAGGGAGCCAAGGCAACCTGGAGAAAAATCACCAATCTTCGGTAAGGAAAAGTGACCATCTTTGTGAATGAGGATCTGAGTGGACAGGCTATTTTAGATCACTGTAAAGGAACTATGTGGACCACTCGGCCATCGTCCCCTCCTCTCAAAAATAACCCCACCCAAACAAGTATCAACAGAAAGAAATATCTTATACATCAGCAGAATGCCAACTCTTTGCATCGTTTTTTCCACCAAACAAGTAACAGTTCGGACTGATTTGTTTGTCATCAAGCTTCGAATAACCAACTGGACACGTTACTGCTGGACATCCTGCACCTCCACCTCCACCTCCACCTGCAACTGCACCTCCACCTCCACCTGCAACTGCACCTGTTGTAAATAAAGTAAAAGTTATATGTCAATATACTCCGTTTTAAATTACCATTGAAATATAATTTTCTTTCTTTTCGTTGCTTAATTGTTTTTTTATTAGGAATACCAACAGAAAGGTTGAACATGATTTTATTATTTGGAATGTTTATAAAAAAATCTTTTTAACGAATTGTTTGTTTTATGTGTTTTGGGTTTCAGTCTCAGAAAACGTATGTTCACAGTTGCATTTTCATAATTCAGTGTAATTTTTAAATGCTATTTTAGGGTAGACACAACAATTAAGTTACAACATGGGTTATAGATATTCTGATTCAAATATAGTGATTAGGGACAGAATGTGTACAATGAAAAGATATGAATTCCAACATTAAAGTAAAAAAAAAACATGTTAATATACCTCGATAAAAACATTTGCAAAGTACAGATTCCCCTCTATCAAAATATTAGTATAAAATACTTGTACTAGTAACTGATTGTACAAATGAAGTATATAATGGTGGGCGCCACTAGTGGAGCAGAAACAACGGTTTATCCCTCTATTTCAATTAGGAGAGGAAGTTTTTCTTGGAGGGATTCATGCTGCTTACACATTTGTTTTAGAGGTGTTTTGTGGACTATTGTTTGTCTGGTTGTCTTTGACAACGGTGTAATATTAGTATAATATTGACTTATATATTGATTTATTTTTGACCCTGTTGTTTTCCAAGTGTCCTCTTATTTTGACAGGTATTTGTTTCCAAATTAATTAAAATACAGATCATGTATCCGCGCGTCGCTTACATGGATCTGAAAACGAACCATTCTACTTTCTGTTTGAACGATCTTTCGGGGTCCTCAGGTTTTATCGTAATAATACACACCTTTAAAAATTTGGAGGAAGACATTTTATTGGTTGATAAAAAAGTTATTAGAACAGTAAGTAGGGTGGAGTGTTATCAGATCCAACATATTTACTTACGTGAAGAAGACCCTAACAACGATGGAACAATCGACAGTAATACAAAAAGTCCAAGAATCCCTGATAAACCTGATAAACCTAAGTAAACAATAAATATATAGATGATAGAGTTGTTTATGTAACATTGTAAATCATTTTAATATGACGTTCTTATTACGCTTTGTATACAAAGAGGTGTTCTAATTATCACAACATTTGTTTGACACATGCGCACAAACTGACTGTTTACATTCTCGTTATTTTCATTTTTCTCCTCATAGAATATATATATATATATATATTCTAATAGCTTACATAAAATTTAATCATATATTGTTATTAAAACATCATATATTTAACGCTCAGTATATTTCGACAAATATAATGCCTACCAATGTTAAAATGAGCATAGAGCATGGCATGAAGGATTTATTTCTTAATTGTCGTATCCAATTCTAAGCATATTTCATATCAATTAACCATAGCAAAACATGTATTTGATTGTTCACTTGTGTTTAGTTGAAGTTTTAGATACATTTGTATTGCAACATGTATTTACAATGCGTTAAAAAAATGGCATTGGTAGTTCTCCGTAAATGTGTAGTGTTCAATCGTTAAAAAGTTGAAACAATGATGTGTTATGATATCAATTATGTGATCGGTAGTGTTTATAAGAACCAACAAGAACATTAATGGCATTCTCAATATGCTTAAACATTACAAATAAAAGTAATGTTTTAAAATTCACAAGTATGCGTAAAATATTTGGCTTGATGATTTAAAGCATATTTGATTCTATGTGCGTATACCACAGACATTTAAAGCAGACCCTAAGACTTTTAATGAATTTATCAATACCTGATTCAAGTCAATTATCAACAATTATGTGTGTGCAACTTATTAACAAAAAATTGAGAATGAAAATGGGAAATGTGTCAAAGAGACAACAACCCGACCAAAGAGCAGAAAACAGCCCAAAGCCCAAAGCCACCAATGGGTCTTCAGCGATAAAATCCCACACCCGGAGGGGGGTTCAACTGGCCCCTTAACAAAAATGTGTACTAGTTCAGTGAAAATGGACGTCACACTAAACTCAGAAACATATAAATGAACTAAAATTTATAAAAACATACAAGACTAACAAAGGCCTGTACAGGTTTTAAGTTTGACATGTTTAAACGTGATAAGTTTTAAACGACGGAGGAACATATGAAAGCATTTGTTTTAAATCATTTTTAAGCTTGTGACTGATATTTATCGATAATTATATCTTACTGATATTAATCGATATTTATATTTTACTGATATATACCGATTATTATAAATTACATGTATTGTTATTATTAAAATCATTTTTAATCGTTTTGCTCAATCTTTAGTTTTTTGTGTAGTGTTTTGTAAAACGTTGTTTTCTTTTCGCTGTTTTTTCGGGTTTTATTTCGACTAAGTCTTACTGTTTTGGATTTCCCCTTTAGTATCTCACTGTATAATAGAGCAACAAGATTTGTGATTGTTGCTATTGATAGAATCTAACGCTTATGCAGAAAAGAAGTCATAATTAAGGGTCCTCGTGGGATTTAAAAAAAAAACAGAAATGATGTGCAAACAATTTGAACAGAGAGCAGAAAAAATTAGAAATAAAGAAAAAAAATTATGTACAAAAGATAGAAAATAAAGAATAAAGATAAATAAGTTAAAAAGTTAAGAAAAGATACTTGTAATATTGGAGTGTTTAAATATAAAGATGGGAGAATAATTACCATAAAAGAGAAAAAAAAAGAGAAAAATGACCTTCGTTATTTTAAAGTGTGCACCACATTTTTTATGTTTTTTTCGAATAGACAGAAAAAATATATTTCTTATAATTTAATTCTAAATTCCATTTTAAACCGGAGTAAACCATGAAAAAACGTTGATGACGTCACGGTCACATGACAAAATTATGTCTATGAGCAGGGTTGCGTTCAATATCGTAGCGGCTACGTAGTGCTACGTAGATTTATGACTATTGAACGAGTAGCTAGCCTAGCTGCTATCAATATCTATGTAGCAGCTAGGCTAGCTACACGTTCAATAATCATAAATCTACGTAGCCCTTTGTAGCCGCTACGATATTGAACGCAACCCTGATAAACAAAACAACGTCAGCCAATCAGAAGACGCGTTACATCCAAAATTAAATTATAAAGAGATGAACACCCCAAAAGCAATAATCTCATAGTTATCAATGATGTGTTTTTTAATATTGTTTACCTTCATCTGTAGTCTCTTCATTATCTCTCAACAGGAAAATTTGTGTGGTTGCTGGCGCTGGATCATATAGGGCAAAACCGCTGACATAAGAAGTCTTTAGAAGGAGTATTACTGACAGGAAGATCAGTCGATGCTTTGAAAAGGAACAAAAACATAAATGTCAGTTTTGCGAATATGAAAACAATTTCTGATTTTCAGTTTTATTTTGTCGCATTCGGCACACCTCGGCAGACCTAACAATCTAACTAAAAGTAGGGTAGCGGAATCTGCAGAATGTTGCCGATTGCCATTGTCGTCGGTTATACACCTAGCAAAGTCATTGATACACTGCGTTTAAAAATGCCATTGAAATGCATTCATTGATTACATGTTAACTGAAAGTCTAATGAAACGAGTTTCTGGTGATTATGATGAATTTTAAGAAAACTATAGAACCAATGTTGACGATCTTAAATTTTCAGTAAGAAAATTTTATGATATAGTGCAAATAAAAATGTTCTTAAGAGAGGCAACAGATACCAAAGGGACAAACTCATAAGTCGAAAATAAACTGACAACGCCATGGAATAAACATAAAGAAAAACGACAAAATTTAAAGACAAACAATAGTATACAAAACATAATATAGAAAACAAAAGACTGAGCCTTTTTGCAGTTACATAACTAGTATTGAAAACGTAACTTAGACAAATAGCCATTGAACAGCAATGTGTAGTAGTCTCTGAAAGAAGGTAAATCAAGAAAGTTCTTCGGACGCACTAAATATATGAAGTGTTTTTTTTATTCTCTAGTTTGCCTGTTGCAGAGACAAATGTCTGACGTTACCAAATATGCCCTTATTTTCAAGTGCTGCGCTCATTGTGTTGTCATTGTTTTATTAGATCTTGCACCAACCCACCAACCGTTTAGCTTTTGTGGGAGTCATTTTCTCATTATTAACAATGTTTTTCGACTTTGATAAAACAAAGTTTTTAACTGGAAACATTTTTTTTTACTTACTTTCTAAAACATTTGTTTTTCAAGAAATTAAAAATCAAGTTATTTATATAAAGAAAAACCAAAATATAACTTTATCTATGACACAATATATTTACCCCTTCCCCACAAAAGATGAATGGTCACTGCTTAAATATTCCACACTGAAAATTTAACTATAACAACAAATAGAAACCTAAAAAAATGAGTGATAAAAGACAGTGTATGCATATAAAATATAATAAGATAACCCACCTGGAAAGACCGAATCATTCTGCAACAGACAGCAACGCAGAAATCATCGGGTGTCATCTTATTTTATACCTATATATTTTTTAAAATATTTCTTTAAAAACCCTTCGGCGGGTAGTCGCATGTCTTCCGTTTTCTTAATTTATTATTTACTAATATAGATGTAAAACGCAAAAGACACCTGTATATTTTTATAATAGTTTTTATTATCTTTAAAAAAAAATGTTTATGTCAGGATACTCAAATCAAATTATTTGTTTCTTTTTTTTTTTAATTATCAAGTCATCAATTACATGAAGACTATTCAAAGGAAACATAACAATATTATTTTTTGGAAGAGAAGATGTTGAAGAACAAGTCATTTCCTCGCCCGTCTTTTAAAAACAAAAAGAAGTTCTAAAATAAAGAAGCTACCATTTGATTTTTATAGTTTATCCTGACACTTTTTTACATAAATTGTCATCCTGCCCTTTTTTTTGCCAAGTTGCTCATCCTGCCTTTTTTTTTTAACTCAAAACTCCTGTCCTGCCTTTTTTTCAAATTTCATCCTAGCCCCCCCCCCCCCCCCCCCCCCGATAAAAACCAAATGGTAGCTCCCTAAGGGGAGGCGATAAAATCACCGAGATCTTAAAACTACAAACCTTTGTAAAATCGACAACAGCATGACCAAAAGAAAACAGACAAACCAACAACTAAATGTCCTAAAAACACTACACAAAAAGAAAAAGAATGAGCAACACGAGCCCCGAAAAATCCAGGGGTCAGCAGAACAGGGTCCAATTCCCGGTAGGGATAGGGACGTTATATCTGATACCCATTTTGTCATGGAGTACTCTCTGTCCCCTAAATAAAGTGCTTGCAATATATATCATTATAAATCAGAAGATGTGGTATGAGTGCCAATGAGACAACTCTCCATCCAAGTCACAATGTATAAAAAGTTAACAATTATAGGTCAAAGTACGGCCTTCAACACGGAGCCTTGGCTCACACCGAACAGCAAGCCATAAAGGCGCCAAAATGACTAGTGTAAAACAATTCAAACAGAAAAACAACCGGTCTAATTTATACAAGAGTGCACACGCGGAAATGTCTCGCCTTCTTTACTAACCATTGATTTTATGTTGATAGTCCTAAATATAAAGCTTTACTACAACTATCACATAAACTTAACATGATCAAAGAAAATGAGGTCAAGGTCAGATAAACCAAGCTGGAAATACATGTACACCTTACAATCATTCATACACCAAATATGCTTTAAAGATAGTTGACCTATTGCACATAGTATCCAAGAAACAAACTAAACCAGGAAAACTTAACATTGATTGAACCATGAAAATGAGGTCAAGGTCAGATGAACCCTGCCAGACACACATGTTCACCTTAAAATCATTAAAAGCTTTAAATATAGTCGACCTATTGCATATAGTATCTATGAAACAAACTTACCCAGGAAAACTTAAGATTGACCAATGAACCATGAAAATGAGATCATGGTCAGATGATAATTTCAAGACAGACATATACACCTTACAATCATTCATACACCAAATACAGTTGACCTATTGCTTATAGTATTAGAAAAACAGACCAAAAAACAAAAACTTAACATTGAGCAATGAACCGTAAAAATGAGGTCAAGGTCAAATAAAACATGCCAGACTGACATATACATCATTAAATATTTTCATACACCAAATATAGTTGACCTATTGCATACAGTATTAGAAAAACAGACCAAAACACAAAAACGTAACTTTAACCCCTGAACCATGAAAATGAGGTCAAGGTCAGATGACACCCGCCAGTTGGACATGTACACCTAACAATCATTCCATAACCAAATATAGTAGACCTATTGCTTATAGTATCTGAGATATGGACTTGAACACGAAAACTTATCCTTGTTCACTGATCCATGAAATGAGGTCGAGGTCAAGTGAAAAATGTCTGACGGGCACAAAAACCTTGCAAGGTACACACATACCAAATGAAGTTATCCTATTAATCATAAAAAATGAGAGAAATTAAGAATACTAAAAATCTTAACTTTTTTCAAGTATTCACTGAACCATGAAAATGAGGTCAAGGACAATGGACATATGACAGACAGAAACTTCATAACATAAGGCATCTATATACAAAGTATGAAGGATCCAAATCTTCTATGTCCTGAAATATTAAGCTTTTAAGAAGTTAGTTAACACCGCCGCCGCCGCCGGATCACTATCCCTATGTAGAGCTTTCTGCGACAGAAGTCGCAGGCTCGACAATAAAAAATGAGAAACGAGAAACACTTATGAACCACACCAACAAACGACAACCACTGATCAACAACATGGTCCTGACTTAGGATAGGTGCATAAAAATGCAGCGGGTTTTAAACGTTTTAACAGGCGCCAACCTTCACCCTAACCCGAGACAGAAGTGTAACATTACAACATAAAAAGACACACTATAAAATATCAATTGAAATGGCTTAACTCGATCAAAAAGACATTTAAACAAAAACAAGTCAACATACACTGAACGAATGAGTTTGATCTATAGCACAATATAAATACAATAATAATGAAAAAAAAGATGCAGGAACCGTGTCAAAAAGACAACTCTAACCTGGGACAAAATGGCGTTAAATAAAACAACGTACACAGGTAAATTTAAATATAATAATTTTGTTGTTAGGAGTACGGAATACATTTTTTACAAAATTAATAAATTTGTTGTTCACAGTAAGAGTACAGAAGTGAAAAATTATCGTCATACTAAATACTTATCAAAGGTGGTACAAAAAATAGTGAGACGAGCTATAACACAAAATAAGTAAATATTGAATTACAGAAATGCATTACAAATTGTATCAACAGGTCAAATTAACACGAAAGTGTTTGAGAGTACTCGCAGTTACTGAAAGCTAGTTAAAAGCCGAAAACAATTAATAATAAAAAAACATATCATTGCATGAATAATGTAAGCAGGTGGTCGCTGCCAGCAAGACTACTGACCTTAGTTCTCATGCCGTATTGGCAGTTTAAATTCTCAGTTCTTTCATTCCTGTCGATCCATTTTGCATGACTTGAAGTGATATTGCGTTCTATTGTATTACTGACTTTCTACTCTTATCATATTGGAAATATATTATTTGATGGTTATTTATAAGGTAAAAGTAAACACCATGGGTATAAGGAGTTAAAAAATAGAGACAGAAGGTACATGTAATAAGGCGTTAATCATATCAGTCAAAAAAAGAACACCCAAAAACACAACAACAAAAAAAAACAAAAAAGACAAAAACCAGTATAAAAACATTGCAGGGAAAAATAACGGCTGAGCAACAAGAACTTCATAAAAACAGGGGGGGGGGTTATATCATGTGCTCCGGGAGGGTAAGCAGATCCTGATCAACATATTATAAGTTATCACTTTGTCAAGATCAATTAGGATTATGTTGTGATTAAGAACAGCAATGCAAGCGTTAATTGCTCCTTTGGTTTTGTATAGTGCGAGGAGGGATTTTGAATTGAAATAATACCATGCAATAAATCTTGTATCGTCTGCATATCTACATTTCTTGGATGTAATTGATCCGTTAACATTTTTATCTTTATGTTGCCGAAACTGCTTTCGTACTTCATGTAAACACATGTGTCAATTTCACTGAGACACAAATGAATATCCTGTCGAAGTTCCAAAAAGTTAAAATTGGGGAAAAAATAACAACAAATGTTTTGGTTGAAAATTATCTGGATTAACATTTTATCAAAGGAAATTGATGTGTAATCTGGGCCAATTAACTCCTTATCTACAAAAGAACTGTATGTAAAATAAATGAGTCAGCTGAATTTATATGTTTGTCCATTGTTCAACATTTTTTTTTAATTCAGCGCTTCATACTGTTGATGAAGGCATGTATTAAGACTTTAAATGGTATTTTTATGCGCGGTGTATATTTATTTGAATACTTCCCTTTTCCAAGAGACTAACATATCGCACTAATTTATTTGTCATTGGAATGACTGATTTATGTGAAAAGATGAACACGTGCGACTTTTGTAATCCAATCTTATGTACAATTTTTGGGGAAATCGTTTTACAAGTTTGTTTAATAACCCCGGAGATATCTCGATCTTGATTAATTATAACATAATATTATTATATAGACGACATAAGTATCGTGATAGATCCGTGTTTTTACTCGCTTGGCTCTTAAAGAATTAAACACTATATTTCTCTTCTTATTTTCTATTCTAAACTACATATATACATTTGCGCTACAAATCTATAACTCTTCGTTTATCATGTTTATGCTACACGTGCTGTTCTTATCTATAAAATCATGAATATTCAATAGCTATATGTAGGCGTGTCGAAATCGTAATGACCAGCCAGTACACAGCTATGATTTCATTAACCAGTATTAAAAAGTTAAATATAACAATCGTGATATTAATGGATAGAAAATCTAAGAAAAAAGCTTTTAGTTTGCGAGGTAAATAGATAGGCGTATGTGCCGAATGGAAATAATATTTAGTTATCTTGGTGTAATCAGGGGTGTACGGAATTTTACACCGGTGTTGACGCCCAACTTTAGGTATAGTTTAACAGCTTGAATGGGAGATGTTCAGAGATGACCATATTTCTGTACCCTAGTCAACCCTTGGAGTTCGATGAAAGATATATAATATAAATATATATATATATTTCTAAAATGGAAAAACTTTATCGAGCCTCCTCATGGGTTTTTTGATTATGTGATTACATGTGGCCGTATTTGATAACCAGACCAAATATTTCATGATTACTTGATAATCTAGCTTTGACTGTATTTTTAATTACTTGATTATCTTGTTTAAAAAAATAGTTAGTGATTAATATGTGGTTATATTGGCAAAACAATTGTGATTATGTGATTACTTGGACATCCCCATGAGGGGGCCTCTTTATCGCGTTTGAAATATTCATTGGAAATTTCTTGTCTGATCAGTTTTGAGCGGTTGTTCTTTTCGACATTCTGTTCG